ACTTGACTCGACTCGTTTGTAGCCCTATTTGTAATCAATTGCAAACAATAATATTTTCATTCAAACTGGACAAGGATTGTGAGTTTTCTCCATTTTCAAGAGTTTTCACATAAAAAACTGTAGTGTCTCATATGAATGCTACATTCTTATCTCCAATCTATTTAGCTTAAATTTTATATATCTCTGCCGCACGCAACAATAAATAATGCATTAGATGACATGAAATTGTATTTTGAGCGTAGTATCATTTTTTTTTCAAAAAGCTGTTGCCATGGAAATACCAGTTCTACCCACCAGCAGCAATTAGTAATACTCATCAATGAAATATGGAAGAACATTCCAGCTGGGTAAGCCTGTCATTTCACATATGGCAAAACCCTCATGAGTGGAAAAGTCCAAGTACATCTCGACCATGTAATTTCAAATTTGCAAAGAGAGGAATGGCGGAGACGGAAAGGAAGAAGCCGGAGTTCAGAGCCGTTCTTTGAGGACCCAACTCCTTTAATGGTAAGGACGTGGTATCCTGCTGCATTGGGAACGGCCATGTGGTCGCTTTAAATGTGCTCGCACCCCACAACTGTTCCTTCTTGGCTCATCAAAGCACCTCTTTCCTGGTTTCTGTTGCCATTCAAAGTTTCCGCAAACCAACCGACCTTCTTCTACCTTTTAAGGCGCTCACTTGTTCTCCGCCCACTATTGCCGACAGGAGGAAGGTAATTCTTCACTGTTACAGGTAGAAATCTCGGTTAGGTTCCTTTTGTTTGGGTTTCTTCGTTCTGCTCCAAAGCTCTCATCTTTTTAATTTTCTACGCCTTCTCTTTGCGAATACTGCTCAATTTGCTTTAATCTTCTTTTTTATTTGTGAAAGCATGCATTTTTTTTGCAGCTTATCTTACCGAGCCCGGGAAAATTTTCTGCATGATTTTTGTATTGCCCTGGAGATCTAAATTATTCACGGAAAGAAAAGCCATTTTTTCTACTTCCTCTAACCGATTTTAAACATTATCATGCTCAACTGCGTCTCAGTCGGCTGAAGGTTTTCTCAGGAAAAAGCCCATAAATCCTTCTTCAATGCCGCGTTTTCTCAGGACTCTTGTGCTTATTCTCTCTTGTGTTTGGCTGACACCCATTACTGAGCAGTACACATCATCTCAAACGCAGGTTCTTCAGCAGTTAAGGAAGCAGCTAGAGTTTCCCAAACAGCTGTCACCGTGGAACAATACCGAAAATATCTGCTACCTTCCCTCAACGCCTCTTCTAACTGTGATCTGTGAAGGCAACTCAGTGACTGAGCTCAAGATTGTTGGTGATAAGCTTGTCAAACCCGATACTTTCAATGGCTATTCTATTTGGGGTAAAACCTTATCACCCGCTTTTTCTTCCGATTCCTTCTTTACTACTCTGTCGAGATTGCCTAGCTTGAAAGTTGTTATTTTGGTTTCCTTGGGGATATGGGGTCCTCTCCCTGATAAGATTCATAGGCTCTCTCAGCTTGAAGTGCTTGACCTTAGTTCAAATTTTTTCTATGGGACAATTCCTCCTAAGATATCTTCTATGACAATGCTACAAACATTGACATTGGATGGAAACTTCTTCAATGAAACTGTTCCGGATTGGTTTGATTTGCTGTCAAACCTTACAAATTTGAGCTTGCAGCACAATAGACTGAAGGGACCATTGCCTTTGTCTATTGGAAGAGTCCATTCTCTTATTGAAATTTCTTTGTCTTATAATAGTATATCAGGTGAACTCCCTAATTTGAGTGGGCTAGTTAGCTTGGAAGTATTGGATATTGGAGACAATGAGTTGGATTCTGAACTTCCACACATGCCAAAAAGGCTCGTCACTATGTTACTCGGTAAGAATAAATTGAGCGGAGAGATTCCTGGGCAGTTCGGCGAGTTAAGTCAGCTTCAGCACCTTGATTTGTCATATAACTTGCTACAAGGGACTCCACCAACATCAGTCTTTGCATTGCCTAACATCAGTTATGTAAATCTTGCATCGAACAAACTCGCTGGCTCTCTTCCAGTCAGTTTAACTTGCAGTAGCCAGCTTGGATTTGTTGATATTTCTGCTAATATGCTGGTGGGAAGATTGCCTTCTTGTTTGAGCTCTAACTCAAATAATAAGGTTGTCAAGTTGGATGGTAATTGTTTGACAGTGGACTCCCTGCATCAGCATGAAGCTTCATACTGCCAAACTCACTCGAAGAAGAAGTTTTCGAAGCTCAAGAGCTTGGTTTTTCTGGTTGCTGTCATTGGAGGGGTCACTATTATTGTTCTTCTGTTGCTGTTCTTTCTACGCTACTGTAGAAGAAAGCAGGAGGGAACTGTTTCAGAACAAGGTTTATTACCTAAACCTGCTCTGGATAATTCAGCTTCAGGATTGTCATCTGAGCTTCTTACAAATGCTAGTAAGTATTGTATATTTGTAAATATATCTTCTCAAATTGATTGATTGATCATAGTTTTTTTTAGCTGGTTGTGAGGACAGCACTGTTGTGCTTTACAACTATATTGTTGTAGTGCGTCTGTTTTTTTACTGTTTGCTTGGTTATTTTGATTCAAACAAATGCATGTTATAACAAAGTTCTTCAGAGTTTAGAATTCGCTTTTATCTTCATTTTGGTTTTGGACAAAAGATGCTAGAAAGTATCTAACGGCTGGGTTCTGTGATTTATGAAAGCAAGAGGATTTTTAAAGAAGCTTGTAAAACAAATAATTCTCTTAAATTCTTCTCCCAATATATATCTTTCTATATTTCCATGTATCTCAATATTTTCTTCACATCTACTGCCGTCTTGCCATATTTTCATAACTTTCTTAATGGATTTCCAGAGAAATCAAAGTCATCTTGATTTTTTTTTGATAGGTTCATGAACCTAGAATCGTACTAGTTTTCTGTGGTTAGTTACACCTGGTTGTATCTGCTACTTTTTGCTTCTTATGAAGTTTATAAGTTGAATTGGGTCATCATGGGTTATTTTGTGATAACAAGGCCTCATTCATGGATATAAGGGTTTTCTGTTATTTTTTTTTTTTGGCCATATACGTTATGCCCTAGCTCTTATAAAACTTAAACCTTTTAAAATTTTTTCAAAATCTCCTCCATACCCTTTATATGTTGTAAAAGATGGGTGGAAGTGTCTATCTTGTAATATTTTTCATTATAATGGAATTTCAAGTTCGTTACCTTCTCTCATCCTTCTTCTTTTACATGTGTGTGTCAATTTTAAGGCATTGAATAGCTCTCCTTTGGAAATAATGCTCTTTTGGGTTCAGTGAGTCATCACAAGCATTCGAAAATCATTCTCTTCATCAAGTTCTCAGGTTTAAGAAGATTGTTTAGTTTGTCAGTTTGTCATGTTCAGTAAGCTGCTATCTTCCTTTTTTTCTTTTTCAATCTTTCCATACTCTATTCACCATGTGCTATACTCCAACGCTAATTCTTCAAAATCTTGTCCGACTCCATTGAACATGAGCTATATTTTTCTTAATAGATAGGGATCAAATTTGTCATACAACTTGTTTGTGCTACATGTTATGTTACATGCGATAAACTTTGAACTTAGTTCTTGAAGCAATACTATTTCCATTTTAGGTTAAATTGTTGAGGATTTAGTTAATAGAAGGTCTAACATGGTGCATCCACAAGAGGAAAAAGCACCCATCTTGCAACTATGGCTTTGTTTGAGATGGGTTTTTTACTGCTTTTAAAGTTGCTTTCTAGTATTAAAATTTTAATTTTTAAACTAGAAAATCGCTTTAAGTAGTAAGAAAGTTGTCCCAAACAAAGCCTACGTAAGCTTGAAATGTGGTGACGAAAGACGGAGATACTTAAGACGAACTTTCACTAGGTGTATGTGATGGACCGGGTTTACCGGTCCCGCCTGGACCCGTGCGGGTCTACAGGCAGAAGAGGGGGGGGGGGGGGGGGGGGGGG